TCTCTCTCTCTCTCTCTCTCTCTCTCTCTCTCTCTCTCTCTCTCTCTCTCTCTCTCTCTCTCTCTCTCTCTCTCTCTCTCTCTCTCTCCGCGAAGAGGAAGGAGAAAAAGGAGGGAGGAGAAGAAGAAGAAGAAGAAGAATAGTGGCTATGGAGGAGAGGAGAAAAATCAGGAGAAGAAGGAGAAAAAGAAGAAAAACTCTCCTCTCTCGTGCGCTGCTGATGACGATCCCACAAATATTGACCAGCGAAGGTGATTACCCCCGATCCAGGTCACTGCTGAAGGCCGGTCCCATGACCGTTATGAAGTCCCAGCTATGGGACCCAGGTACATCTCTCTCCCCCTTGTGGACATGGCCTCCACCACACCTCTCCACTCCAGCCTACTCCTCTAACACTTCTCTATCGCAGCTCTCCTGAAACTGACACTTCTCCAGCAGCATAGTGCCCAACTAAGGCTCCTGCAATGGACCCAGATCGTGAAGACACTTGTCAACAATGCAAGCCCAGATGAATACCAACCTGCTGATGATTATCAATAATGATAACTGTGTCCCGATAGAATGAGATGAGGAAAACATACACAGACGAAGGAGAGAGGAGGGAAATTAGACTTAGAAAGAAAAATAAAAGACAATGCCCACTTCTGCTTTGGTCTCCCTCCTCGATCACCACCTCAATAATCAATAATCTGAACGCGCATCTGAAGTTCTATCACATTGTGCCACGTGGCACATCAATCAGTCCTCATCAGCGAGCCCGAGCAATGTCGACGTCAAGATAACCAGGTACGTATCCACTATCACCCCATAGTCATGATCTCCTCTCGAATGTCGTCGAAACAGAACAGCAATGTCAGTCGCGTAGCCTCACCACATCAACAATAATAATATACGTGGCAGCGGCCACGTCAGCGGCAGCGCTTGGCAACTGCCACGTCAGCATGCCCAGAAGACAATTGCAAGCCAGCCACCATGCTTAGCCAGCAGAGCGTCGCCGTAGTTCTCCCAATGGCCAGCGTAGAGCCAGCGCCCAGCCAGTGTCGCGCTAGCATCGTTGTCAACGCATGAAGTCGACATTGACACAAGACAGAATGTTCCTCGAAGCTAGGAGGTCAACGCTTATGTAGCGTTGACACGGGGTCTGGACCCCAAGTGCTGCATCCCTCATTTGTCGAGATCTCAACGCAAATGACGGCCCTGATTGGCCTGCAACAGAATTCCCTGTGGCCACTTGCGGTTAATGGAAGGCCAAAAATTCGGGGTTTTTCGTCGTGTCGCTAAAAATTCGGGGTTTTTCGCCGCGTCGCTACAAGCAATGTTGTTGAAACTTTTGCGAACAAACTATGCAGGGTCATAATATAAACATCAAAAAAACAATCAGGCAAAAAAAAAAACGAAAAAATCAAAATCAAGAGCACTATAAATCCCTATTCGGAGTAGCTTTCGGAGTTCGCCAAAGTTTTTTTCGAGTCTACTGTTTTTGCTAAGTTTTTTGGTACTGCTTCAAATACGACGAAACTCAATACAGATATAGCCTAAGGCACATATATAACAGGCGAAAAGAAAAACCGAGAAAATAGTAAAAATTCAGGGAAATATGACAGTTTCGCTGAAAAATTCGCCAAAATTCGCCGAATTTTGGGCCTTCCATTAACCGCGTCTCCCTGTGGCCTTGATGTTGTCTGGGTACCTGTGCACAACAAGTGAGTGTATCCGACCAAGGACCTAGGCGCGGTACCTTTCACCTGACAATTGACGTGGACCCTTGACTTTCCAGGGGGCAGTGCGTGGTCGCACTACCTGGCGCAGACCGTGTTTGGCCTATGTCGTCTGGGCGCAGTTTCGGACCCCCAGACTGCTGCGGAACACAGGTTACTGCATTCCTGCCGACCCATTTTCGAGTTCCATCGCAGAAATAATTAAGACCTTAACCCACGTTCATAAGCAGACACAATGTCAAGAACAGTTTCAAGTAATTTTCTCTTACTAAACCATCTGTCCTCAAACGGAGACTGAGACTTGAAACGTACCTTGAACTGCTTATGTGGTCGTTTGCGTCCTCCTGTAGAAAAGAATCCATGTTCTATGATCCAATCTACTTCATACCTACCTTCCATTGATGACGGAATCATAGATGGTTAGTTTGGGAATTTTTTTCCTTCTACATAGGGTAATAGTTTGGACGCGTGAGAGACAGGATACGTTTTGAGGTGAGGGGGAATATCAATACGATAAGACAGTCCCTCCGAATCCCCAATCACTTTGAGAATTTCCCAGGGTCTAAAATATACAGGCAGTAGTTTTTGAGACACATCTTCTTCCAATGAAAATTCTTTGGACTTGACCCGGACTAGATCACCTTCCTTGAATGTAGATGGTCGGTGATGCTTGTTAGCTTGTTGAATCATTTGGTCCTGGACTTTCTTCAGATTCTCCTTTACTT